GGGGGGTGGGTGGATGCGAAACCCTTGGGCGCACCGACCATTTTGGGCGTCATAGTCATAGCAGTGGTAGCAGTACTAGTACTAGTACTAGTACTAGTAGTAGTAGTAGTAGTAGTAGTAGTAGTGCAATAGTAGGCGCCCCCCTCCCCCCCTACCAACCACCTCTCGTGAACAAGCATGGCAGCCTCAAGCAGTTATTTCGCCGCCGTTCTGGCTTGCGTTCGCGTGCGCGAGTCAGCCATTCTGCGCCTGCGATGATGATGATGATGATGATGGTGACGATGACGATGATGATTGTTCCTTGCGTATTCTACAGCTTCTGCGGCTTAGAGGGACCGTTTCCCACATGCATAACTGCTTCGCCAGTTCGCCACCCTTGTATTCACGCCTAATGATGCCTGCTGGTTGCCCTTTCCTCCGTACTGTTCCCTGCTCGGCCAACGGTTTAAGCGACAGGTGGTTGTTGGGGGTGGGGGGGGGCGGCGTGGCTAGTAGTAGCAGTAGAAGTAGTAGTAGCAGCAGCAGCAGCTAGTACTCGTTCTTGTACTCGTACTAGTACTAGTGAACTAGTGCTACTACTACTGCTACTACTACTACTGCTGCCGCTGCTGCTGCTTCTGCTGCTGCTGCCAGTAGTACCAGTACTTCTAGTAGTACTTGTACCAGTGCTAGTACTAGTAATACTACTAGTACTAGTACATTGTGCCGGGAATTTTAGGATACATCTTGCAATCTTGGTCAACCTTGGTCACAAGCAAGATTGCCAGCAATCTTACCATCTTGGTCAACTTGGTCATTTCGCCCCACTTGCCCTACTTGCTCGCCGACTAGTTTACTTTTTAGACCAAGATTGCTTGAGGCAATCTTGCTTCCCCCAAGTGGGGCAAGATTGAAGATTGATTGGCAATCTTGCAAAAATAATTGTTCTAGATTCCCGTCACACTGACTAGTAGTACTAGTATTACTAGTAGTAGTACTAGTAATCACTAGTACACCGTGCCGAGAATTAGGAACAATTAGTTGCAAAACAAATTTAAATCTCGGTCAACTTGCAATCTTGTCAGCCTGAGCCTGGTCATCTTGCTCGGCCACTGGTCATCTTGGTCGCCACTGGTCACCTTGGTCATCTTGCCTCACTTGTCCCACTTGCTCGCCGACTAGCTTACCATTTGGACCAAGATGACCAAGATTGCATGGACATCTTGCCCCCCCCCTTCAAGCGGGGCAAGATTGCTGGCAGTTTTGCTCAAATCATTATTCTACATTCCCGGCACACTGTACTAGTAGTACCAGAGGTACTAGCAGACGAGTAGTGCTAGTAGTACTAGTAATTAGTACTAGTTGCAGTAGCCCGTTGGTGATGGTGGTGGTGGTGGTAGTGGTAGTGGTGGCAGTAGTAGCAGACGTCGTCGTCGTAGTAGTCGTAGCAGCAGTAGCTCAGTAGCTCTATAGCAGCAGCAGCAGCAGCCGCGGCCAGCCACAGCCGCAGCAGCAGCAGCAGCAGCAGCAGCAGCAGCAGGAGCAGGAGCAGGAGCAGGAGCAGGAGCAGGAGCAGGAGCAGGGGCAGGAGCAGTTTCAGTGGTAGTGGTAGTTGTAGTCGCAGTAGCAGCGGCAACGACATCAACAACAACAACAACAACAACAACAACAACAACAACAACACCAGCACCACCACCAGCACCACCA